CTCTCTCTCTGCTGCGCACTCCCGATTGTCCACGGGTCGGATATCAAACTGATCGGAACAGATACTACACTTGATCGTCATCGTCGTCGTCGTTTTGAGGGGCGGGATAGTTAGTTCGTCTGGGGGTTCTCTCTCTCTCTCTCTCTCTCTCTCTCTCTCTCTGTGTGCAGCGCGCTGTTTTTCCGTGTTTTTTTTTTTTTTTGTTAATAAAGATCTCCCGATGGTCCCTCTCTCTCTCTCTCTCTCTCGCTCTCCCTCTCGCTCTAGCTCTGGTGCGAGCTGTTTTTCCATGTTTTTTTTTTTTGTTAATAAAGATCTCCCGATGGTCCACGGGTCAGATATCGAACTGATCGGAACAGATACTACACTTGATCGTCATTGTTGTCGTCGTTTTGAGGGACGGGATAGTTAGTTAGTTTGGGGCTTCTCTGTCTCTCTCTCTCGCGCGTGCTCTGCTGCGCGCTGTTTTTCCGTTTTTTTTTTGTTTGTTAATAAAGATAGACATCAAACTGATCGGAACAGATACTACACTTGACCGTCATCGTCGTCGTCGTTTTGAGGGGGGGGATTGTTAGTTAGTTTGTGCGTTCTCTCTCTCTCTCTCTCTCTCTCTCTCTCTCTGTGCTGCGCACTCCCGATTGTCCACGGGTCGGATATCAAACTGATCGGAACAGATACTACACTTGATCGTCATCCGTCGTCGTTTTGAGGTGCGGGATAGTTAGTTTGGGGGTTCTCTCTCTCTCTCTCTCTCTCTGTGCTGCGCGCTGTTTTTCCGTGTTTTTTTTCCGTTGTTGTTAATAAAGATCTCCCGATGGTCCACGGGTCAGATATCAAACTGATCGGACCAGATACTACACTTCATCGTCATCATCGTCGTCGTTTTGAGGGGCGGGATAGTTAGTTTGTGGGTTCTCTCTCTCTCTCTCTCTCTCTCTCTCTCTCTCTCTCTCTCTCTCTCTCTCTTGCGCGCTCTCGCTCTCGCTCTGCTGCACCCTTGTTTTTCCATGTTTTTTCTTTTTTTTGTTAATAAAGATCTCCCACGGGTCAGATGTCAAACTGATCGGAACAGATACTGCAATTGATCGTCATCGTCGTCGTCGTTTCGAGGGGCGGGATAGTTAGTTAGTTTGGGGGTTCTCTCTCTCTCTCTCTCTCTCTCTCTCTCTCTCTCTCTCTCTCTCTCTCTCTCTCTCTTGTGCTCACGCACGTGCGTGCGCCGATTTTCAAACGGATCGCGTCGTCGTTTTGAGGGGCGGGATAGTTAGTTAGTATGGGGGTTCTCTCTCTCTCTCTCTCTCTCTCTCTCTCTCTCTTGTGCTCACGCACGTGCGCGCGCCGATTTTCAAACGGATCGCAACAGATGCTACATTTGATCGTCATAGTCGTCGTCATTTTGGGGTCTCTCTCTCTCTCTCTCGTGCGCACGCACGGGCGCACGCCGCTTTTCAAACGGATCCGCAACAGATACTACATTTGATCGTCATCGTCGTCGTCATTTTGGGGGACAGTTGATCGTCGTCATCGTCGTCGTCGTCGTTTTGGGGGGCAGGGTAGTTAGTTAGGTTGGGCTCTCTCTCTCTCTCTCTCTCTCTCTCTCTCTCTCTCTCTCTCTCCCTCTTGTGCGGGCGCACGTGCGCGCGCCGTTTTTCAAACAGATCAGAACAGATACGGCACTTGATCGTCATTGTCGTCGTCGTTTTTGGCGGTGTGCCCGGCGGTGTAGTTAGTTAATGTGGTCTCTCTCTCTCTCTCTCTCTGATCGTCGTCGTCGTTGTCGTTTTGGGGGGCAGGGTAATTAGTTAGGTTGGTCTCTCTCTCTCTCTCTCTTGTGCGGGCGCACATGCGCACGCCGTTTTTCAAACGGATCGGAACAGATGCTGCACTTGATTGTCGTCGTCGTCGTCGTCGTTTTGGGGAGCAGGGTAGTTAGATAGTTTCAATTTCAAAAAAAAATCTCTTATTATCTTCAAATTAATCTGAGAGAAAGAATACTACCATATTCATATTCCTTATCAGAATTGAAAATTCAATTCAATTCTGAATTTTTGAATAAAAATAAGCAAATAAAGAATATAGATGAAGTTATCTTAGGAGATACTATTTATCAGACCCCTCTATTTACTAAAAATTATGGTAGAAATATAGTTATTCTATTATTTGTAGTTATAATAAAAAATCCAATAAAGTAATAATGCAAGATAGAAGTAAATTCAATATAATATTGAATTTACTTCTATCTTGTTGATTAATTTAAATGAACCATATCTAGATATCTAGGTATCGAACAGTAATGGCTGTTCCCAAACTCATTGACAAAAAGATACATAGAGATCATATAAAAATACATAGAAATCATATATAGCAAAACTACGCAAAATACAAACACTTTGACTCTCTCTCTCTCCCTCCCCCTCTCTCTCCGCCCCCCTCTCTCTCCCTCTCTCTCTCTCTCAGAGGAGCGGAGAGTGGCAGAGTCCGCACGACACGCGGAGGAGCGGTGAGCGCGGAGGAGGAGCGGTGGAGTGCTGCGGAGCGGTGGAGCGCGGAGGAGGAGCAGTGGAGCGCGGAGGAGGAGCGGTGGAGCGTGGAGGAACGGTGGAGCGCGGAGGAGTGGTGGAGCGTGGAGGAGCGGTGGAGCGCGGAGGAGGGGCGGCGGAAGTCAGGGGGAGAGGGCGTAGGAAGCAGGGAGAAATGTACTGACCTGTGTCTGCCATCTTCGACAGGCGTTGAGGCGTCATTGATGCAGAACTCCGAACGGCCAACCACAGGCCAGCGATCCAACCACGGCCAACCATGGCCAACCACAGGCGAGCGAGCGAGAGAGAGCCACAGCTTACAGCACCATCTCGCTCGCTCAGCTTACAGCACCAACGGCCGACCACAGGCGAGGGAGCGAGAGAGAGCCACAGCTTAGAGCACCGACGGCCAACCACAGTCGCGTGCGCGCGCGCGCGCGCACGAGAGAGAGAGAGAGAGAGAGAGAGAGAGAGTGCGTGTGTTCCACAACAGGGCCCTTCACAAACGGGCGCTTCAAAACAACAGCACGGCGCGCTTCACGACAACAGCAGAATACAACCGATGCACGACAACGTTCAGTCCAACGGGAATGTTGGGTTGGCCTGCCGTTGTGAAGCGCCCTAGACTCCAGTAGCCCGGTAGCACCGCACGGCACTTGACCGGTAGAACCCCACGGCACTCCGCGGCGTGTCTATCTGAGCCGTCGATCCGGACGGACGGCCTGGATCTTGGCGCAGTACTAAGATCTTAAGACCGCATCTATCCAGGCCATCGGTCCGGTAGGACCCCACGGCCCAGATCGCAGATTTGTTACATGGTTAGGTCGATCAGGGCCGTGGACCGGTAGGACCGACGACGGCCCGGATTTCAGATTTGTTACCTTAGCGATTTTAATAGTGTAGGGATCCATGGAGACCCAACCCCACCCTATCCCCTGCTGCTGCAAGGTAGCTGGTGGCACACATGCCCCTCTCCCCCCTAGGAAATCTAATCTTTGAACCCACCCTCTGGCTTCGGGTGGGTAATCAGCTTTAGAATGGCTCAGTGCAAAAAAGGACCCAAGGGGGTCTAACCTCGCTGCGCACCACAGATTGCAATGAAATGCAAGTAGAAGGGAATAGAGCCTACCTCCACCCTTTTACTGTCATGGAGTCCAAACACCGATCCCATCAGGTGTGAGAGAGGATGATTGCCAAAGTCGCTGCTCACGTAGCTGTGAAAAAGAAAATCGGCCATACAATCCACCAAAACAACAAACAATCAACACAATCAGATCATCAAGCTCAATGGCTTAATAGAAGTCCACTGATATGAACCAACAAACAGACCAGTCCAAAGTCAACCATCACAGACACAGGACTTCAAATCACTGGAGACTACAAACACCTTGCAAAAATCAAAGCATAACAACAATCAGGATTTCTTTTCACGTGAATATGGAGTGCTACCTGGTCAGATACATCTGGGAAACTGAAGAAAGCACAATCATTTGTATGATCCTGAAGCGCTAGACATCTGGAGGCAGTTCAGTGCGAAAGCCCGTGACATTAAGGTCACACTCCCAGTGAGACTTTGTCGCCCAAATCTGTCCGCAAGCATTCCACTTTACAACCAGACGAAATCTCCCAGGACATGGGAGGGATGTGAGCCCTGGCTACGCCCTCAATCTGCCTGCAAGCATTCGCATTCAAGACCAGCAAAACCTCCGAGGAGGGATGCCAGCTACGCTCCGAACCAAAAATACAAACAATTCAAATTATGCCTCTCAGATAGCTCAATCAAGTGACGAGTGTGAACCCTGTCGCACACATTGATATTTATGGCAGGTAAGGTGTTCATCATAATGTGAAACAACTTCAGCCAAGCGTGGCATTACGTTAGTACAGTGTCGTGCCTTTCGAACATGTCATTTCATTTTGACTAATGCAAGCCCTAGACTGCATGTCATTCCAAGAATTTAACTCTTCTTACTACATGAAAGCCAAGGAAAAATGGATGGAAAACTTACCCTACTCGCAGTCGACCGCTTCCTCCAGGAGCTTTCACAGGGATCGGTAATGGATGCTCGAATGGTGGCAGCTGATAGGCTGCAACATTTTTCAAACAGTGGTCTGCATATTTCATGCTGACCTCCAGAGCCAGCAGTGCATCAATCGGGTACGCAATTGCATGGAATGGCTGCATGCTAGGTAGAACATCCATCTGCAAGTTCCAGCAAAGAGCCATTGTTCACCCAACATCACCACCATCAACATGACATTTAGAAAACACTTCCCAACACCCTAGTTTCGCCTTAACGGACGCAAAAAGGACCATATCCTCTGAAAACAGGCCTTGTTTTCATCCGTCTGTATGAAACACAAGCAGATCAACCTTTGCCACGATGTCACCATGACAAGATGCCAATATGCCAGGGCGGACACCAACATTACTACCGCATCCGTCACTCAAGAAAAGAGGCCTTGTCAAGACCGACCACTCCACCTTCTAGACCACTGGTACATCCGAGCTTCTTCCGGCACTGGCGGATTCCCCTTGCTCGCCACGCTTTGTCAAAATGCACGCGCAGCGCTTCTTTTCGGAAGGCATCGCCAGCGATTTAGATCCGGTAGCCCTGAGCCTCCCAAGCTTTGGATTCGCTCGATTTCAATCATTCTCAAGTTTGGTTGGGCGATGTACTGGTGGTTAAAGGGAACAGCTGAATTCACCTGTAACGCTTTAGCCCATGCCAGCTCGAGTAGCAACAGAATCGTAAAGCATCATTGGAACATACAGTAACCACTTTTAAGAGTGCAAGGTAAGGAGCTGACAGCCTTACACTCATCTGTTGGCAAGACGTACAGAGAGCATGCAGACCACATTGGATGATGTGCCTCAGTGATATGCACATCACCCTGAGGTATCACAGACGATGCGAGGCCGTATAACAAAAACAAAAAAAAGAACATCAAAAACTTGCACTATTCTATGTACATAATAAGGGCTGTGGTTTAAGGGGTGCCTCAGCCTCAGCCGAAACCGACATGGACATTTCCTTTTTCCCAATTTACAATGATATAATATAAAGAGTTCTTTGTTCCCTTGGCAAAAAACTACCAGAAAGGGTGATCCGATAGTTGTTCGTAAAAAGGTCAACCTTTTGAAGGGTCAGCAAAGTCTCCATCCTGCTCAACACCCTGCTCTCCCAACCAGAAAGAAAATATGAAATGCTGACCAAAATCAATAAGCAACACAACAGATTACAACCACTTTGTTGATAACTTGATGTATCTCAAAGCCAGCTCGATTTTCGAAAAAGATCTAAAGGAGGGTTTTTTAATGTGAGAAAAGACACCTTGATCTGCTTCCGAACCACTTCTTCCAGCTGAGCGAATTTCTCGTCTCGGTCCTCCCAGTCACAGACACCCTGCAAAACCAACACAGCACAGTGCTAAAGACTCTCAGGAAAGAACGAACGAACCCAGTCGCTGAAAGCCGCTGTCCTCCTTAGCCGTTACATTGCAAAAAGAGATGTACCGAGGCATTACATTGAAAACATGTGTAGGCCCAACGGGCCCAGCTCAGTTGGTACACCCTGGAACTGTTCCATAACACACCTCAGTTGAAATCCCTATCAATTCGGAGGAGTAAATGCCTCCGAATTTACAGTTTGAAGATGACATCTCAAGACCGTCACACTTTAACCCTGGGCTGCCAGCCGGGCAGCCTGGATCACCTTGTTTGACCGGGCGGCCCAGCCGTTTGAACAACCTTTGCCTCCACATTGAAATTCTTTAACAAGTTTGAAATTAAAAAAAACTTATATATATTTTGTTGTCCTCTTCTCCCTCTCTGCCTACGGTTTACCGGGTAGCTCTGTTTGACGATATACATTGGTGCCCACCTCAGGGTATTCGGGCAGTCGTTGATGCTTTTAACCACTACCGGGGTTAAGGTGGATTATCACTACAGGGATTCTGCAGACTGTTGAGGGTTCGGCCTCCTGATGAGTCGGTGAAACTCCGACAAAACAGTTTGTCATAGCCCTCGTTTGTTGTCCGCTTCTTCCTCTCAGCCTACGGTTTACCGGGCAGCTCTGTTTGACAATATATACATTTTTCTGCCCAGCCGGGCAACTTGCCTCGGGCCACTCTGGTAGCCTAGCTTTAAACCACCACTACCTCCAAGCCTGTTTTTGTCGACCCCGATTTTCACTGCGCACCAAGTTCTGCCGAGCCTGGCCTTTGCGCCTCA